TTTTGCCCCCAAAGCCCCAGTAGATAGTTGTATGCCATAGCTGCACACCCTTCTAGTTGCTGTATGTGGAACTCGGCCTCAGGATGGACAGAGAAGTGGTGCCTCGATGCGCATCTGGGATCCGAACCCGGGCCGCCAGCATCGCAGCGCACACACTTAACCACCAAGCCACAGGGCCGGCCCCTAAAAATATATCTTTTGTATTGAGGTGAAATTCACATACCATTAAATCAATCATTTTAAAACGTATATTCAGTGGCATTTAGTACATCCATGACGTCATGCAACTTCCACTTCTATCAAGTAGCAACAGCATTTTTGAAAGTGCATACATGGGGAAAAGAAGGTACACTTGGAGGCTGGACGGCCATCGGGTGGAGTGTAACGTGTTTGCCCAGCACCCCTGGCTTTGGGGAATAAGCCTGCTCCTACTCCCTGGGTTGCTGGCTGGATCTGTCAGGCCCAATGCCACCTCCTGCACCCACTTACTGGGGTAGGCATGTCATCCACACTATCCCACTCTCTGTGGAACCTGATTCAAAATGGGCTTGTGACCAAAGCCAGAACAACTGAAGTAATCCTCAGGACTTTTATGCTAGGGACGGCCCCTCGAGTAAGGGTAACAAGGAAAAACCAAACAGGACAATTACGTGTCTCAAACCTTGAGGCTCAGGGTTGTGTGTGTGGGGTGTTGTTAAGGATTGTGGATCCTCATGTCCTGGAAAGATTAGGGGGCTTCCTGAAGGAAAGGAAAATGATATTCTTCCACTGGGATTCTAAGGTGGGAGAAGGTGAATCCAAGCCTCCACACAAGGCTGTGTGGAATTTGCTTACAGTGGGAGGGAAAATGCCAACACAGTGGCAATGCTTTAAACTGCTGAATCCCTTTGTTTGTTTAAGCTGGTTTTAGGCTGAGATTCTGTCACTTGCAACTGAGGGAGGCATGACTCTAATAATCCTACCTGAAGGGTAGGTGGAAGTTTCACCATTTGTTACAGATGAAGAACCTACATGGACAGTGGTCCAGGATGTAGCTCTCCTGGTGCGTGTGGCATGCAGTGGATATTAAGATGACCTGAGTGGTGAGTCACTAGGGGGTTGAAACCACTGAGCAGGGTGGTCGGTGAGCCAGGTCTGGAAGTCAGGGAGGAGGCGTGGCAAAGGCTGGTGGAACGGTTTTAGAAGCAGACCGATGGAGAGGACATAAGATCTAGCAGGGTGTTGGAGCCAAGGGTGGGCCACCACTGCTTCTCTTATCTGAGTCAAGAGTGTGGGAACTGAGTCTTCCCATGGCGTCCCTGGGTGGAGAATGTTAGAGGAACATGTTTTCTGTGAGGGGGTTGGAAGGGCCCCTGTGGTAGTCATTGGTGCTGGCTGCTAAATACATCTGCTTCTCCCCACTTTCATGTCGATGGTAGCATTTACTTCCTGGTTCCCTGTAGTTGAGTGGAACTGTATGACTGGTTCTGGCCAATGAGTGACAAATGGCTATTGTCAACATGATATCCTCCAGTGCTCTCCTTGAGATGGTGGCTCCTCTGTTAGCCAGGGTCCCTGAATATTCAATGAGCTCTGCCCCTCTCAATGAGACCTGCCACTTACACGTAACAGGAGCAAGAAAAGGAACTATGTATTTTTATAATATATTTACTACATCTAATTTACAGCTGTACTATGCTCTAATTTTTTTATTGTGGTAAAATAGATACAACACAAAATTTACCATTTTAACCATTTTTAAGCGTATAGTTCAGAGCATTTAGTACATTCACATTATTTTGCAACCATCACCACATCTCCAGAACTTTTTTATCTTCCAAAACTGAAACTCTGTACCCATTAAACACTAACTCCCCATTCTTCTCTCCCCCCAGGCCCTGGAAACCACCATTCTACTTTGTCTCTATGATTTTGACTATTCTAGGTCCCTTGTATAAGTGGAATCATACAATATTTGTCTTTCTGTGTCTGACTTATTTCACTTAACAATGTCTTCAAGGTTCATCTGTGTTGTAACATGTGTCAGAATTTTCTTCTTTTTTAAGGCTGAATAATATTCTACTGTATATACACATCACATTTTATTTATCCATTCATTAACTGATAAACATCTGGGTTGTCTCCACCTTTTGGCTATAGCGAATAATGCTGCTATGAACTCTGGTTAACAAATATCTATTTGAGTCTCTACTTTCAATTCTTTTGGGTATATACCCAGAAGTGGAATTGCTGGATCACATGGTAATTCTACATTTAATTTTTGTGAGGAACCACCGTACTGCTTTCCAGAGAACCTTTGTGGTTTTAAGTCACCGAGACTTGGGGTTGTTAGTCATTGCAGGACAACTTCATCTATCCTGCCTGATATGGCCCCTCTCCCCAGATTATCTAGGGTCAACCAGGATTCTGGTCAGGCCACAGCAGGGCAGACACAAGTGAGGGGGTAGGAGCCTAAAGATTAAATCAACCTGAGCTGGACCCAGTGTGATATGGGGTGAGGAGGGCCCCATAGGGTTAGCCAGCACTGATATGCCTCTTCCCGGGACTGCCTGGAGGGTCCTCCTCGTGCCAAAGACGTGAGAGCCAGGCTCTAGAACCAACCCTGTGGCCACACGGTTGCTTCTTACTGGACACAAACCCCCTAATATGGTCACCTTGGGCCTCTTGACCCCAGCAACACAAACATCCAAGGTCACACACCACAGGCTCCCAATGATTTCATCATAAACAGTTCTACTGAATAAAAACCTATGTTTGCCCATTTTGACTCTGAGAATTGCAGCTTAAGAGTAACTATAATGTTCTGAAGTAACCAGAATGATTCCAGAGTCACATGAATCAGGGTTTGAGTCCCCGCTCTGCCGCTTCCCACATGTGGCTTTGACTAAGCCTCACCTCAGCTTCTTCCTCTGCAGAATGAAGATAATACAAACTACTGCACAGGGCTGGTGAGGACCAAGGGAAAGCGCCAAGTCTGGTGTCTGGCACACAGGAGATGCTCAGTAAGGTCGCTGCTATTCGGGGGCCGTGTTATATAAGCCCTTGAGGAAGGGAGAGGTATGGCAGCCATCTTTCTAAACATGGTCTCCCCCTTAGCCAAACTTTAGAGTGTTCGCGGATGCCCATCTTGATGTGGAAAGCAAAGTGGTAAGGAGCCTGCAGTGCACATATTCATTCCACCAAGGTTTACGGAGAACTGACCATATGCCAAGTGCTGGGCTACAGAGACGACAGACATGGTCCCTGTCCTCATGGAAGGAACTCATCAATCTTCAGAACTGGCCAGGTGGAGACGACGGAGAGCAGTGCCTATCATCAGTGGCATAGGGTGACCCCTTGAGTGAGGGTGACACTGAAAAAGGCCAGGACAGTTATGTGGGGAGTGGTCTCCAACCTTGAGGCTTGGGGAGTGGGGCAGATTGAAGGACCTGGAAGCATTAAAGAGCTTCCTAAAGGAAAACCTCTCTGGGATGAAAGGTCAGCTCCGTGTCCCAAAGAGTTAGGTAACTCTGTTCCTGAGACCCTAGAAGGGGTGAAGCCAGTGGGGAGAAGGGAAAAGTAGGACTGGCTTCAGCAGTGAGGGCCAGGGTGCCCAACTTCAGTAGCCCCTGACTACAGGTGGGATGTCAGGGGCCTGGGGAAGGGAGCACACCATGTCCCTGGGCAGGGAGTTCAGGGCACTGTCATGTAGCTGAAGCGCTAGGTGGAATGGGGCTGCACAGTGGGAGATGGCTGATGGAGGTATAGACAGAAGTGGGGAGCTGGGCTGGAGGTCAGAGGGCCCAGCACCAAGTCCTAGAGGTGGCAGCTGGAGGAGAGTGATGAGCAGAGGGTGGCTGTGCTGGTGGAAGTAGATGGAGATGCCCCAAGTCAGAGACCTAGAGCCCCGAGAACTCTATGGGAAATGAGAACAACCCCCACGCAAAGGGGTGAGTAAGCGTGAGGGTGGAGTGTAGGTGTGCACAGAATCTTAGAGCTGAAAGGGATCTTCATTGTCATTTAATTCGGCCTCCCACCCCACGAAATCTTTCAGTCTTCCGCTGCCCAACTGAGGACACTCTACTTGGACACCTCAAGGTATGGAGAGCTCACTCCCTTCAAGGGGGGGGGGTCACCCTATAGAGACGCTCGAACCTTCAGGACATCCTGGATGGGCCTGGCGCCCCGACCTCGGCCCTGTGGAGTGGGCTGGCCTCCGCTCGGCGGCGGCACCTGGCAGGGGTGGCGGGTGGGGTGGGGGTTGCGGCGCGGATGGGCCGGCGCTGCTGTCCCCGGCCCCAGTGCTGAGGCAGGCAGAGTGCAGTGGGCTCTGGTGGAGGTCGGGAGAACTGCAGGGCGAAGGCCGCCGGGGGCTCCGCGGGCTGCCGGGGGGAGGCACTTGACACCGGCCCGGGGAGAGGAGGGGCCGCTGTCCCTGCGGCCAGTGCTGGATGCGGGGACCCAGCGCACAGGCAGCGCCAGGTAGCGGGGCGCCCCGCGAGGGGAGGGCTGCAGCGAAGCCCCCGGCGGAGTGGCCGGGAGCGCGGCCGAGGCGGGGCGCCCAGGCC